GAGATTGATTTTTTCAAAACGGTTTCTTTGTTTGCACTATCTTAGACATGTCGGCATGCGACGAAACTTGATAGGTGGTCTTTTGGGGTCCTTAGGAAGATCCTCACCCATTCTGGGGCAATTCTTAGACTGTCGAAAATTCCACTGTAAATCAAGGCTTTATTGACCGGCTTATCTTTTATTCCGCATCGGGGACCCAAAGTGATGAAAAATATCTTCAAACAGCCATATAACATTAAGCAAAAATTGACATGATGGTTAAATTGACCTCCTTATAAGAAGTCTTGACATCCACTCATGTGGAGGCCACTATTAAATCAGATCCGGCCACTAACGAGTTCCGGTTTTGGTGAACCTGCCAGGTACTTTAAATTTCTTTAAAAAATTATATAAAATCCCAAAAAAGTAATTTGTTTGTAATGTATTTTTAAATTTTTTTTTTTTTATCATTTTTGCCCAGGTTTGAAAATGTTTTAGCATTTTCTCATCTTTTTTTAGAAAATTTCAAAAATACCCCCTAAACACAAATAGATTCTTTAAAATCGATTTTTTCATTAATTTTCGCTTTTATTTGGATGTGCTTTGTTTAATCATTCTTTAAATATAGCATTTATATTTTATTATATTTTATTTTATATTTTTATTATAAAATTTCAAAAATACCCTTGAACTCTAAGACTTGCTATTGTTGGTTTCCATTTGAAATATGGAATAGAAACATTGGATTCCATTTGAAATATGGACTAGAAACATTGGGGTCTTTCTAGTGACATATATGCAAAAAAATTATGAAATAAGAAGTGATAGTTTCAATTTTTGGTGGTGTTTTACATATTCATATCTTTACTGAATTAGTTTCATTTGTTTTGTTTTAAATTTTTTAAATTTTCTTTAGAGGATGGTTTTTTATCTCTACTAAGTTACTTATGTTCATATGAGTGTGAGCGTTTGGAAGTTCGTTGCTCGCTTTATATTTTGTTACTTAAAGTTCCACACGTGTTTCTTTTAAGATATGGTATATGTAGTTTTATTTTAGGGATTGTATAGAGAGACCTTTTATCTTTAGTACGAAGACCCTTTATCTTGAGTTTAGTCACAAGTACACTTATTTTGATTTGAAATTTGATTGATAAAAATATTGTGATTTCTTTGGGGTAAAAGTAAATGTCTCTCTTTGTATACTTTTCTTTTATTTTATTGTATTTTATAAAATTTATTGGTACTTTTATTTTCCGGTTTAAGATCTCTTCGCAAATACTACCTCATTAATTTTAGAAGCTCTGGGTAATGTAGTAGTTTAGTTAGCTTAGGGATTTTTCTATTTTTCATCATTCAAACTTTATGATCTATGGAATCTCAAAGAAATTTAATCTATTCTATTTTGCAAAAAAATTTATGATACTATGTTTTTTAAAAATAGGAGCATGACATAGACCAAAAGTTGGGGAGGAAATGAGTTTATTGATATTTAATCTGATAAGATAAAAAGTTATGCGTTGTGTGGAGTGGATTTAATAAAAGAGATAGTGAGGATAGATTTATGCAATACTGCATCCACTATCAGAAGAAGAAAGGGATTGTTGTTAGGCATACAAAGGTTGGGATTGATGTTTTCGAATGATATACAAATGTTGGGCATATGGAATTATTTAGAGATGCATGCGCTATCATTCAAATGTTGGCAAGATGAGTGCATTGGTGCCCTATACGAAGACGAGTCAAAGAAACTTTATACTGATGAACTTCTTGATATTTTGGTGTATGTTTTAAATTTTGGGATGTTTATCTTGTAGGTTAAAATACTTTATAAAGTTGAACACAGTGTAATGTTTTTTTGTAAGGTTGAACACATGGCAGTGTTTCAAAAAATGGTCCGTCGGACACCTAGGGGCCTAAGATCCTATGCACCTCATGCACAGTGTAAAAATGGTCCGCCCGGCACCTAGGGGCTTAAAATCCTATGCACCGCACGCACAAGCACAGTATAATGTTCTTGTAAAGGTGAACATACTCCAAGTAGTTGGTTAAGGGCATTGAGAGGTTCCCATATTCTTAACATAAGTTTAAGTTTAAAAGCTTTATTGTTTAGGGGCATTGAAAGTCGAGATATACAAAATAAATAATGGTTTACATTCCCATCACATCATCTAAATTGAACCTACACAACCAAATTTAAAATGAACTAAATCTTATCAACCCTTCATATAGGTTACCTTTCTTGAGTAAGGTCTTCTCGTTTGTTTAAACTATTGAAATTTTTGACAGAAATTGCCTGACCGACCTAGGCAGGTTTAAACTATCGAAGTTTTTGGCAAAAATTGCCGAGCCCGGGCGCCTTCCCAAGTAGATCGGCCTTGGGCCGTATAGGCCTATGGTGCATAGGGTTTTGGGTGCCTAAGCGACGGGCCATCTATCAATATGATAAGATTTTCTGCAAAATAGAATAGATTAAATTTCTATGAGATGATTTGCCACAAAATATAAAGTTTGAAAGAGGAAAAATGAAAAATCCCTAGGTTAATTAAACCACTGCATTTTTAGAGCTTCTAAAATTATGGTAGTATTGCAAAGAGATCATAAACCTGAAAACAAAAGCACCAATAAATTTTGCAAAATACAATAAAATAAAACCACATATATCATATTTAAGGAATATATATTGAACTTTAAGCAACAACACAATATAAAGCAAACAACGAAGTTCCAAATGCTCACACTCATACAAACAAGTAAACTCAGCAAAGATAAAAAGGAAAGCTTTATATGTTCTCTCTACAACATAGAAGTTCTATCTTCTTTCTACCATCCAGCCATCCATTTTTTATCAAGAGAGCCACTCACCGTTTGATCTTAGATCCGACATCTAAAAGTATTTTATTTTTAATATTTTTAATACAATTTTTTCTGAATATGGAATTTGGTACGTGCCATATTCTCATTGGGGCGTACCTATAAAAAAGATTAACAATAATTTTTCGATAAAATATAATGACCAAAATACCCCTTGAATCTTTTAGGGGCATTTTGGTTATTTTATTTTATTGAAAATATTTTTTACATATTTTCATTAGTGCGAGTTTAATAGAGGAATAGACGTCCAAATTTTGGTGTCAAAATAGTTTATAAAAAAAAATTAAAAATAAAACAGTGTAGAGACGTGACATTGTGATTGGGACAATCTTAGCCCTGAATTAAAAAATGGACGATTGAATAAAGAGGATGATAGAACTTCTATGTTATAGGGGGAATATAGAAAGTTATCTATAAAATTTTAAGCAAAACAAATGAAATTAATCCAGTAAAGAAATGAATATGGAAAATACCACCAAAAAGACTCCAATGTTTATATTCCATATTTCAATGGAATCCAACAATAGCAAGATCAGAGTTTTAAGACTCGGCAGAGGTAACTCGGACTCATCCGAGTAACTTGGCCTAGAGTTTTGGACGACTCAATTGGACATTACATTGTATAGTTTAATTAAATTAATACCTTAAATTTAAATCAGATATACTAAAGTGTTGTTTTCTTATCACTACTACATAAAGTTGAACCCTATCCAAGGATCAAATCAGTGTAGGACAAATTGAACCGGAATGATTAACCCCCTCCAAGATTCAAATGAGTGTAAAAACGATCGAACTGGAACGGTTAGCCGGACATTGGTTCAACCAACCTAATCGGGCAAGTCCCGAATGGTAAAAAAATATATTAAAAACCCTAAAAAAATATGAAAAATATATTTAAGAATGATTAAACAAAACACATCCAAATGAAGTTGAAAATTAATGAAAAAAAAAGAGCTCTTAAAGAATCGATTTGTACCAAGGGGTATTTTTGAAATTTTTAAAAAAGATGGAAAATGCCTAAACATTTTTAAATATCGGCAAAAATGATAAAAAAAAATATTTAAAAATAAATTCCAAACAAAATCCCTTATTTTTTGGTATTTTATATAAATTTTTAGTTTTTTGAAAATACCTGACCAGTTCACCAAAGCCGGAACTGATCAATGATTGGATCCAATTTAACCGGGCTAATCAAGTGGTTAGAATTTGAACCGCTTGATTTTACCTATATTGCCTAAAAGACATAGATGGAAATAGAGAGAAAAAATATGGTGACTTATAGTCGGGATGCGGATATAACGCTCGACAGAGCACAATAGTATACTAAGATTTGTATAGCCAACCCCAAATAGTTGGGATAAAGCACGTATTATGATGGTGATTATGATGATTTGATGATATATTTTATGAAAGGGACTGCGTACAATGAGACCATTTACCGATTATACAAGGAGGACATAATTATTTATAACCATTCTATGTGACATTCCATAGCTTGAGTGTGTCCCAAAGTTCAAGAAAATTATCTTTGAACTTTGAGCTTGGTCAATGGAATAGATGTAGCCACCTAATTTCACATCCAATGGTCAAGATTACTTTTAACAACCTTATATAAACGGTCGATTTCCTTTATAAAATAAGTATAGAAATTGAACCCTGCTGTGATAAATTGGAGCTTTTGAGCGGTTCAAATGATACTATGAGATAATTAGAACCCTTTAATGATATTTTTCCTATGGGTCATTTTCCTTTTTGACAGAATTTGGTATCTTCAATATACTCCCATTTAGGGTTTTGCCCAATGGACCAAAGTTATATCTTACTCCTTGGGAGAATGAAATTTTTTCGATTTCCCTAGATCTTACAGAAAAAGTAATGATCCATGGGGATCTTAACGAAAAAAAAAGAGGGGACACTTTCGTTAATAGGCCTATAACCTCTGCCGTGGATTATCCATAAAGGTATTGCTTCTTATACGCGCCACCCGAACTTCAAATCTTTTAGAGAGAGAAAGCCCAACCTGCAAAACTCTTGAGGAGAGAGAGATATGTCATGCCACCCAATTTGAAAGAAATTCTAAACCCAACTTCCCAATCCAACCAAAAACCACATTCTCTCTCTCTCTCTCTTATATTTAGCTAATGCTCTTCCCCTCCCATTTCCTTCCCTTCTCTCAGTACACGAACATACATACATACCTACACAGTTATATACATAAATCACGCACGCTACCATCTCTAACACCTTGCATTCTCTCTTCAAATGCCTAAATTCACCAAATTTCTCTACACAAACATCTCTAGACCTTTCTCTCTCCTCCCCTTCCTCCTCTCTCTTCTCATCTCTTTTCTCTCTGACACCTCTCATGCAGGCTCATTCACAGTTGCAAACAATTGCCCCTATGCAATATGGCCAGGCACACTTGCCGGAGCGGGAACGCCTCAACTACCACTCACTGGATTCCAGTTGGACTCCGGCCAGAGTGTCACCATTCCGGCCGCTCCGGGTTGGTCGGGTCGAATTTGGGCTCGAACAGGCTGCGAATTCGATGTCTCCGGTATAGGCCATTGCCTTACAGGAGATTGTGGTGGGAAGCTAGAATGCGATGGTATGGGTGCAATTCCACCTGCTTCTCTCTTCGAGATCACCCTAGGAACACCCCAGACCCTTGATTATTATGATGTGAGCCTGGTGGATGGCTACAATTTGCCGATGGTGGTGGTACCGCGCGGGACCTCGGGCTCATGTAACACAACCGGTTGCGCAGTGGACATCAATGTAGGTGAGTTTAGGGGCATAACAATCTCCTCAACTCATAGTTCCTAGATTTTTGAATGAAATTTTCGACATGGGTTTTCAACAGTTTCATCTTTTTGAAAGATAGAATTTTGTTTGTAGTATCACGCATTAAGAAATTTACAGAACATTGATTCAAATTTTGGACATGCTTTTAATTAATATTTCATCATTGAGCTAGTATATGTCATCTAATGGTCTTAAATGCATGCAATAATCGCTGGTGCAACATTCGTTGGCTCCAAATCGTATAGGTAATTTTTGGGGTCCGAAAAATCTTCATAACATGTTAGTTTTATTTCTTTGGCCCTGTAGAAATGGACAGCCCCTACCATAGGTGACTTTTTTTATGATAGAAACCTAATAAATGACACTATTTGTAGCTATAAATCATAGTTATAAATCAGTTTACATAAGGTTGTAACCCTAAAATTAAGGTTTAACTCTAAAGTCTATCATAAAAGGTTGTTTTGATGTTGGAAAACCCTCTAATTAATCATCTCAATATTGAGATGTATGAATATATAAAAAATAATAATTTTGAGTCCTAAAATAATGCATCTTGCAACACATTATCTGGACTGTCCATTTTCAAGATTTTCAAGTGTTTATAGATCTACTTTCTTTGAACTATTCTTGAAGTTTAAGATTTCATAATTAGATATAAAATAGATTCTCAATTCATCCTATAAATTTTCTACATCAGAATTATACTTATGATAAAATTTGGAGGTGCGCCTTAATCGAATTGTTTTAAGGTTGGCAAGCATGAAACCTTTTGGTCCCTGCCTACTTGAGAAAGCGTTAGTGACTACGACCCATAATCATTTACTCAAATTTCTTATGCCTGAGCATCTCTCTAGCTCTCAAGAACAATATTAACTAATTTTAGTCGTTCAAAAATGTAATATAATCTTGAAGAGTTCAATCATTTTAGGGTGCAGTTGGCATACGGATGCATCCGTAGGTGTAGAGGTAAGGAGCACCTTCAAATTTTATCATGGTATATAATTTTGATGTAAAATGTTCTTAAGATTATCTCAAACTCTATTTTTATATCTAATTATAAAATTTTAAATTTCAAAAATGGGCAAAATCAAATAGATCTATGAACATATGAAAATCTTGAAAATTGATGGTGTAGATAGTATGTTGTAAAATGCACTATTTTTTGAGACTTAAAATCTTTTTATTTTTTATATTCATCCATCTAGATGTCAAGATGATCAATCAATGGGTTTTTCAACATTAAAACTACTTTTTCCGATGGATTTTTTAGGGACATCCATAGTTCTACTTTATAAGGTTACATCCTTATATAAACTTTTTCCCTCATTTTAAAAGAAATTAGAGAATTTACTTTTGTGAGTTTTATTTTGCTACGTAAAAGCATACTATGATCCATAAGAGCATAAAGAATCACCATCTAACGAAGAGATAAATAGTAAGAATCGAGCTTGGCCTATAGTTGTTAATAACTTACGTTAACAACACTGCATCTCAAATTTAATCCCTATGTCAAATTGCCCAAAAAAGGAAAGAATAAATTAAAGCTTAGGGACATACCATTTACGTTAGCAGCACTACCTCTCAAATTCAATCCCTACTGTCAAATTGCCCAAAAGAGGAAAGAATAAATTAAGGCATAGGTACATACCATTTGAGTGACTATGACGAGTTGCACTCTTTTATCTCATTAACCATGATCCATCAATTTGGTGTGAAGACACAAGTAGGCAAAAATCTGTAATTTGCTACTTATCCAAAAGATTATATAACACTATACATAACTCCCTCCCAACAATTCTCACTCTAAAAAAAAGACTCATTATTTAGTGTATTGAAAATATAGGCGGGGTGAACACAATTGATAATTTGACATTTAGATTGGGAAAGAGTTGGGATTGTGGTGGTAGCACCCGCACACCTTAGTCACTACGTTGTGGTTTTCACTGACACCACTCCTTACTTTTAAAAACTGACTCCTAAACTATTTTAAAAAACTTAAAAATTTGGGTAATGACTGATCTTCCCCACTGGATTACCAAAAAAAAAATTTAACAATTAGATTCTCTCTCTCCATGAAAAGGGAAAACATATATTCATTTTATTATTGTGCTGAAAAATATGGATAGGGTGTCCAAAAGAGCTACAAGTAGTGGATGGCGATGAAATTGAGATGAGAGGTGGGGTGGTGGGATGTAAAAGCGCCTGCGAAGCCTTTGGTTCGGATGCATACTGTTGCAGTGGGGAGTATGGGAACCCAGAGACATGCAGGCCAACCATGTACTCCAATATGTTCAAGAGAGCATGCCCTACAGCTTACTCCTACGCCTATGATGATGGAACCAGCACCTTCACTTGCATGGCTGCCAATTACGTCATTACCTTTTGCCCCACCAACTCAGGGTATGATGATAATGAATCCTCTCTCTCTCTCTCTCTCTCTCTCTCTCTCTCTCTCTCTCTCTCTCTCTACTACTCTCTCTCTCTCTCTCTCTCTCTCTCTCTCTCTCTACTCTACTACTACTCTCTACTACTACTACTACTACTACTACTACT